TGTTCTCTTGATGTAATCTGAGAAGCAATTAAGGTCAGTGTTTCATGACATTCTTAGAAAGCAGTGAGGTCCCCAGTTTGTCTGTTTTCTTCCATCTTCCTCAGCCTATCAGTGAAATGCCAAGTAAAAGATGCACCATGGCGTAAGATTGGAAATCTGTTAGGTCTGTGCTCTAAAGGGATCCAAATCTGAGAGTATGAGTGACTTCAACACTAAGAACATTTTGGAGAGTAGAGAACAACAGTGTTTTCATTTGGTTTGGAGGAAGCTACAGTGAGGGCAGTGTGATGTTTAGCCCATTGGTTGAGAATGGCATGGTGCTGCACCTCAGATGGTGCCTTGCTAAGACTGGACAAACAGATTGAAACTTTGCCTAGAAAAAGTTGGACTGCTGTTGGAATTGAGAACCAGCCAGAGGCAATATTGGTCCTTGAAGACCACGGGCCTGCTATTAAATCTCTAGTCAAAAGAGAATTTTAATAGCTGAAGTTATCCCAGCTGCTTGACAGAATGTTACAGGAGAAATCCAGATAGATTTTTGGCTGCCTAAGGACTTACCTTTTTGACCTGGCCAGTTTTTACAACAGTTTTAAAATTTCACTTTTAAATGGATACTAGGGCTCAGAGCAGTGGTTCATTATCCAAAAGGGCATCTCAGTAAAGAACAAGGTACTACAGCTGCAGGGTGTACTTTTTAATTGCTGGGTGCAGTTTTAAGTGCTTGGTAGAATGCTTAAAAGATTGGAAAGAGTTCTCTTTTAACTAATAGGTTGTGTACTACTTATTCAAAATTGTTGAGTGTTACTTCCATTTTTATTAATGATCTGATTGGAGGAGTTAAATGAATCCCTAGCAATGCTTAGAGCTGCAGCTGAGATCCAAACTAGAGGGTGCTGTTGACTCTCTGGAGCCTTACAGAGGGATCTAGATTGAAGCATCCAGTGCAGGGCAACAAAGCTGTAACAGGCGTGTTCTGTGAGGAAATTTGGACTGTCCAGTCTGTAATTTTTTATGAAAGTCAACTTAGTGAGCAAAAGAGAACCAGCTTAAATGAAACAACTCTGATGCTCAGTGAATGTATTCTTCACTGCTTCAGAAACAAAGCACTAGCGTTTGGACTCTTTTTAATTTTCTCACATTACACATTTGTATTTCAGATGTCTGAAATACGACTAGATCTTTGCTGTGAACTTGTATGCCTTCTGAGTAATCAGTGTTTTAGAACAAGCAGGCAGAGAACAAATGTAAATAAAGAAAGCAGAAATCAGCTGATCAAAGCCAGAAGCCAAAAATCATTGGTAATTTAATTTTGACAATAAAGTTGGAAATTTTCTACTTAATCTCTTCTCCTGTTAAATCTTTAGCTTCCATTTTTTTAGTAAAATTTTAAAGCCATTTAACAAGTCTCTACAGATTCAGTGAGCCAAGTAAGTGGGTGAATGTAACTTGCATTCATAAAGATGCGATCCAGATGGCAGTACATGGAAACGGAAACGTAGTGGACTATGATATAGTGAAATTTGTTAAGGCATAGATGGTGGAATGCAATAGCATTTTATTGTCCTAGAACATGTGTCAACAGGAAAGCTAAGTACATTGTTTGAGAGAGCTCAGGAACAAAAATTTTAAAAAGCATCTATTCCATGACTTTTCTTACTGGAGTCAACCTGTATTTGTGATGCATCTAGTTAAAGGTACTCTAGAAAAAGGAAGTAATGCAATTACCAATTCATGTCTTTTCCTAACTTTTTTTTTTTTTTAATCCCCTTATACTGGAGGAATGTGATATGACTGCTCAGAAGAAACAGCTGGCAGTTCTATTTTCAATATCAAATTACATACTCAGATGTTTTTCTGTACGCTGCCATGGGACTTTACTGCATCCTGCTCATGTCTTAGTTACTGAGTGATCAGCAGCATTGGCTCAGAATGTGGGAGACAAGTGTTTTTCCCATACGTAGCTGTGTGTGAGAATATTTGTCTTTATAAATGGGCACCAGAAGGAAAAGGCAGTGATTCCTCCATCGCCATTCTGTACTACAATAGTTAATGTTAGCTGAAGACATGTGACACCTGGTTTTAATTCCTCTGCCCATCTGTGCATGTTCACCTGTGTGCCTATATAGGCAATTCATCAGTTGGCTGTTTAGTATTGAGTATATCATCATTCACTGTAAGAAAATCTCAGCTGATTTCTTTCTTTTGCTTAGGTGGGTAGTAGGAGTGAGTTATGCTCATTCTCCTTATCTCTCATAAGAGACTAGTTAACTATTACAGATGAGGTAGTGAAGACAGAGCATCCTGCACTAGTCTACTGACCAGTAGTTTGAGTAATGTTGTGCAGGTGTGGAATGCTGACTGGAACTTTTTTTGGGGAGAGGTGGAAGTGAGTTTGTACCCTGTGTCTTTGGTGACCACTGTGCTCCTGAATAGCTGGATTTAAAAAGAAGAAGTCACATTGCAAGTGATGTGGACCTAGTAAGGCTTCTTACTCCCCAGGGCACAACAAGTTGGGCTGGCAACCTTCATTTTCCTAGCATATTGAGGTAGTTGCTGTGCGTGGGATTTGAAGTACAGAAATCCTATTCTTCTGTTATGCACGTAAGGCCTGTAGATGCTGCCTTGGTAAGGAGGCACCCAAAATATTTTGTGGTTTCATTGTGTAAAATCATAGGCTCCTCTGAAAAAGCAAGCAAATTTTTGATTGTTCCTTATTAACTCAAGTTTTCAAAAAGACTTGTGTAATGAGTGTTGAACATTACTCTAGGGCTGTAAATTACTAGTGACAAGGAAGTTAGATTCTTTAGAACAAAGCCAGTGAGACTCCATAGCCTGGGTCTTAAAACAGATTGAAGACAGTCAGAATAGACCAGAGTACGCTTACAGTTTTTCCAGTACTTCATGGGGCTGGTATTTTGTGGTTGGAGGATACAGTGCACAGGGTTTTGCAAAGTGCTTATTGTTCTCAATTAACTGCAACATAAAGTAGTTATAATCTAGTGATCTGATATTCAGAATAAAACCACAGAAGAGTTATTAATTGGTTCTCTGTGCTCTCTTGGTATAGTTGAAGATGTCTGTCAGAACGTGTACTGG